GTGGTTAATTGTTTAGTCTAGGAAAAAAGAAGTAGTCAAAAAACACCCATCATGGTTTCAAATTGCTATTTTTATAATGTCCAACAGCCCAGAATCCAAAGATATATATATATATATATATACTGTATATATATATATATATATTGTATATATATGATATAAAACAGGGAAAAACAGATCTGAAAAATGACTGAATTAATGAATTGATTATCAAAATAAACACTGACTAATCTATTAACTGAGTAACTGTTTAAGTTTAACAATTTCATTCTGGTTGAAAATGTATTCTTTAAAACTTAAAAAAGGGGCTACTTGTACATTTTCTTTGCCGCCTTCTTCATTCTTTCTCCACGGTTGGATGCTGAACTCGCAACGTTTCTTCTAGACTGATAAGTAAACAGCTGCTAATGCTAACGCTAGCTATGTAGCAATAGCAAAATTTACAAATAGCGCCTCTAAGAGCTGTGTGTAAGCTATGATAAAATGTATTTTAAACGCTTGCATAGTGCATTAAATTGTTCAAATGGACAACCCAAGTACAGTAATGTTGTCATGTTGATAACAATGTGTAGTAACTCCCGCATGAGCGCAGTCAAAACCACTTTTTAGCTAGTTTGGATGTCAGGACCAAAACAAACTGAAACTCCTCTTCCGTTAAATACACATGAATAACAAGAAATGAACCTGATGACGCTGTGGTTGCTGTGTCTTCTCAATTGGTGCCGAGCTGAGCAGGGACGAGGATATGAATACTTATAGGTCACAGAGGTGAGGAAAAAAATAAAGGACCTTTAATGCCCCTGTGACATGAATTGCACATTCACAAGCAGGTATATGCACAGACACACACACACACACACACACACACACACACACACACACACAGAGGAACACTCAGAGATACCATAAGCAAGTGTGTCTGGACGGTAAACAACACCTGGGAATGTGGGCTAACTACATTCAGAACTGAGGGCAGACGTCATGGAGGTCGGTAAATGTCTACATAAACAACTGTGTATTTGTCATCTCATGCATTTATATTAAACTTAATTGGATATAAGTATGGAAGGTGAACAACCTATTTGCACCTGATTGAGTAGTGAAAATGCAGTGCATGTTGTAGTCTCTGAATATTAAGACCCTCTGAGGTAAGGCACTAATGACAGTAAATTTAAGGATGAGGCAGAGGCAAGTCTGAGCTGGTATCAACTGATACGGTTTCATCTGAAAGATGTGTACAATGTATGTGTGTGGTGTCTATCCTACAACCGACGAGACTTCCAAACAAATCCTTAGATGAAACTCCACGTACGCAGAGCAGAGATTTAATTCCTTCTTTATCATATCTGTGCATCGTACAAGTTCCATAGTGCACGATAAAGAGAAAAACAGAGGGAAAACACAAACCAAGCGTGGAGGAATATGTGCCTTTTGAAGTTGTCTTTCTTCTTGGAACTAGCTTTGGCGTAACGCGGCTAGTTAAGCAGATCATTAAGCGTAATGGTTGGGGAGGATTGCAAAGCTTTATCTCTGATGGCAAGAACAAAGTTCTCGATGATCTGGGGGATTCTGGAGCTGGATTTGATGGGAATTCCCATGCCTGCTGGAACAGTTTACTTTGAAACATTTTGATCTGTGCTATCATAAATCTAGAGACAGGGAATGACTGAGTCAGCTTTACATACTGAGACTTAAGGTATATGGGGATAAAGTTATCCTTTGACAGATTATACCTGGTGATTGAAGGTTCTCCCCCTGGATAGATGCCATTATTGTTGATGTCTGGGAGTGATGTGAGACAATAAATTAATGAGTTTAAAAATGCATTTTAAAATTGTGGAATTATTATTTTATTTTATTTTTTGTAAAAAAAAAAAAAAAAAAAAAAAGAAAAAGAAAAAAAATGCAAGAGATGTCAAATCCAAAAAGGTCTCTAGCCTTTGCCAGCTTAGTGTTGAGTAAATTAAAGACCACACAACAATCAAACATGTGGCTGTTAATGGGACGTGATTGAAGTAGATGGAACCGAGTCTCAAGGTTGGCTGGTGGCAGTCATTTTTGGTTAAAAAGAGAAGCAGGATCACGGGGGGAAAAAAAAGGAGTTTGTGTGTGTAAGGGCTGAATTTCTTCAAAAGAAAAACAAACAACCAGGACAGAGCACAACTTCATCTTTGCCTGCCGCGCTGCGATGCAAATCTTTATTCATGAGAGCAGTTGATCCGTGCATAAAAGCTTCATTTTGAAAATGGTTTGTATTTCTTTCAGTTGAGAAATAAGAGGGGGGGGGGGCTGTTGTCTGAGAATTAACACCACTAAAGTGATTTCTCAGGATGAGATTGAGCTTTGAAAATATTTCCCCTCGAGGCAAATAAAAGGATAACGCCAACGATTCTTTATTTATTTTCTCCTCTCACTTCTCCTTTGTCAGTGCCCTCCGCTGTTTTGCATTTGAATCAATCCAGATCAGGAAATCGCTTCCACCCAGTTCTCATGTTTATGAAAACACAAGTTTCCAAGAGCCTACAATGAATTTATATTTGGTACAAGCTGCGTAGTGCATCTCACTCCCCTGGCAATGTGCCCCTCCACAAGCTTTCCATAGAGGTTTGCCCCCACCCCCCCACCCCGGTTTCCACAGTGCTGACTGATTGATTTGCTCTTTAATGGTTTCCTGTGTTGGGCATGGTCTAGGATGAACATCTGTAAGGCTGGATTGGGCATGCTGGGTCTGTTTTGCTCTGCTACGCTCATCTGTGGTGTAGTAAAGTGAGGTATCTGCCTTTTCTGTGGCCTGGGAGAATGACGTGCTCCATTATAAAAAGAACTGACTCCAATGAAAAATGAGCCTTGGGTCCTAACGGCTGCTGGTCGCTGAGTGGATTACAGTGCCTCAGGGGATGAAGTTCAGCCTCTGATGTTGATGACTGAGAAGGGGGGGCAGGGGGGTACTAGTAGCTGGTCTGTGAGTGATAAAGTTCTACTGAGTGTTAATGTCAAGAGAAGTTTGTTTTTGAAGGACCACTTCTATAAGTCCTCACAGAAGCTGAGATGCAGCTCTGGGTCGTGCAGCCGACTGTGGATTCTGGCTGTGTGTCGTGCCAGTAGCTTTGAGAAGATTGTCAACTTTGTTTAAGATCCAAGTAAATTAAGACTGTGAATATTGATTTAGAATCTTTTGAATCACAGCACTGAAGCAAATCACAGGAAATTGGAAAAAGGGCAACACGTCAAGACCAAATTGGCTGAAAAATACAATTCAGGAAGTCCAATAATGTAGAAAGAAAACGCATAACCGTGAGGGTATATTAGAAAAAAGGCGGAACTCAAGTAATGTTTAATTATATCTTATACAGAGAGGTTTCAAATTTGTTTCTACTATCTTGTTTTATCTAAAATGTAGGACAAATAACTAATGTTCCTTATTTTATGGTTTTTCATTGTATTAGCACAATGCTTGCAGTATGAGGATGTATTTATGTGCATATTAATGCTCCATATTGATATATGCAAGAGCTTCAGGTCTTTCATTGGATTTTGACTTAATGACATGAGTTAATGCTCACGCTTATTTGGTTTAGGATCGTGCTATATTTGTAAAAAGAGAATATAAAAATAAAGTATAAAAATCAAGATTGTGTTTTTATCCATTTTAGGATTAGCTGACTTTGCTAAAAAATCTTCTCCCCAGTGTTTAAGCGTCTACGTTGCCACTGACAAACGCAAACACAAAACTCTGTGTTTGGGCAAACACCTTAATCCTGAAACCAATCTTTATTTCAACCTACGCCTTAAAATTAGGAGTTAACATCAGAAGGCGCTGCTCAACCGTGAGGTATTAGGAGGTAAGGGACAAAGCACACCTGCAAAGCTGGAGCTGACATGAAACAAAAAAAAAAAAGCACACCCAAAACAAAAGCCTCATCCAAAAGCCACTTCAGAAGCCTTTCTTCATAATCCAGGGATGTGGGGCAGATCTGAGAAATGGGAAAAGTCCCACGTGAAAGCAACAGGCTTCCACAGAACACATTAGCATTTACTTGTGTTTGAATTTGATTGAACTAATTACGCCGGGTTGTTGGGATGATAAGCGAGCGTAAACATTCGGGGTTGGAACAGGCCCCCACAGAGATGAAAAAGCCTTCCACTTTCATCCATACGCAATTAATCAGCATCTGACTCTGCAAACAGACGCAGCAGCTTGCTCCATTGCCTCTCTTGTAAGCACTGACTGACACATGAAAGCAGGGAAATTTGCACTCAGTTAGGAGATTATACAGCGAGTGAGTCAAATCTGAGCTGATACTGTAGAAAGACCTCAGGCAACGACACACAGGGAGGCTTACTCGTCCTTTGTGAGGGTATCAGGACTGGTCCCATTAGCAGGTAACAGCACATGTGAAGTGGGCGCATGTGTGCTTATTTATGCTAATAAAGAACATTAATGTTTTTTTAATGTGAAAAACAATAGGGTCCCAAAAGGCCCCCAAGGCCTGGCAGAGCAGCAGCAGTCAGTGTCTGCAGGAGCTGGTAATGGATACAGCATTGCACAACAGCTAGTTAGGAAACAGGCGGCAAAAAAAAAACTTCAAAGCCCTCCACGTCCAGCGGGCCAGGTTATTTCAATTAGTCTCCAACAAGAAGCCTTCTTCTTCTTCCCCAGCTGGACCCCCACCTATCACTCCCAAGGATCGACCACACGGGACCCTGTCACTCTGTTTCCTTCCACCCCCCCCCCCCCCCAAGGGCTTTGTTTTGGAAAAGGAGAAGTGAGTCAGGTTCAAAGTGGAGAAGGCCGCCGGGTAACATGAGATGACGGTCTGTCCGAAGGGGCAGGCGGCCGTGCCAGACGATGCATGCCTGCTGCCTCGAAGTGGGGATGTTTCCTTTATATCTGAGCTCTACACAGTCATGGTCTCACACACTCACACTAATAAACTGCCATTTAAAAAAAAAAAAAACTACACAAGATCTGGACTCTGCAACATCATTCATCGTTTCCCTTGTTCATTTTTATTGAAAATATTTAAAGATGTTTCATTCAGTCGTTGTTTTCAAATACAGATATGTAATAGCGTGGAGAAAACGAAGTAGTTAGAGTGCAGAGACGTGACCTTTCTGTAACATTTGCGGATTTTTCTGACTCAGTCACTCAGCAAAACCCTTCGTTTGACTGAAGGCTGTGAACGCACACAAAGGCTGCATATGAGTTCAAAGTCTTTCAACCAGAGAATGATCAGGTTTGCTTCACAACTGACATGAATATGAACACATCTGGTCCTATTTTAAACTCAACAGGAGAAGGGAGTGTTGATTGTAATGATGATATCTCTACGTAGTATTTACACAATTCTCTCTCTAGCGAAGATCGGACGCTCAGTCATGCAAAACAGGAATATAAAAACAACTGTGACATTTTTCCTTTACTTCAATGCCCTCAATCCTCACCCCATGCACCATTTACCACAACCTGGAGGTTTTCCAAACTAAACAAGAGGAAAAACATGAGGCCAAACAACATGCTGAAAGCCTAACTAGCGCCTGAGGTTTTCCTGATAAGGTCAACAGGTCAAGAGAGGACCAGCATCCAAACGAACAACACGGCTGCATATGATTTCCAAATGCTCAGCTAAACATATTTGTTGCCACGGAGTTGAAGGTTTCACTGTGTAGTGGTGTGATCTGTAATCCACAAGGACTTCTATGGTTTAGCAAGTCTGTTCTTGGGTCACCATCTGGTCTCGTTTCTCTTTTCTGTCTCTGAAAAAACAAATGAAAAAAGATTCACTGAAACAAGAATAGAAGTCAAAAATTAAAATCAAAAGGCAACCAACTAATAATCATAAAACACTTTTTTCTTTTTTTCTTTTTTTTTTACACCTTCTCTGCTATTTAGGTATGTCTTTAAATCGAAGAAGCTTTTCCTCACCTTTCCAAAGCTATTTTGGGGAAATAGCCGTCCAGACTGCATGTCCTCCTGCACCATGGGAGTTGAATAAGTGCAATAATGGGGAACATTTGTTTAATCCAAACTGAGCTGTCTGGTGACCTTGCATCAGGGCAGGGATCAACGTCAACTTAGTTTTTATTAACAGCACTTTACTGTTCAAATTAATAGTGTTTTATTAACAGTGCATATAAAACCTATTAGGGACACTTGCAAAACAGGGACATAAATGTTAAAGGGCAATTGTACTAAGCCCTCCCGTGGTATTTGAAACAGTAATGCACTGGTTGGTTTTTGACGTTATATGCATTGTTTTACAGTGAAGGATTAACAAGCTTAGGAGGATCAAGCAGTGACTCTGATGAAATACATTTTGCTAATATGTAAGTACACAGTTAACACATTGGACTTCACCTGCAGTCAAATTTCTTACTCTATTTGTTGATATTGTGCAGGTTCCTATTTTTTCTTAAAAAAAAAAAATACTCATCTAGCCACATGTATATCAAAAGAGTTCTTGGTCTTTGTAACTGTTCCTCTTCTCCAGACTGACAACAAAAGGATCCCTTGATGAACGCATATTTAATGGAAGAGATGTGGAGGAGTCCTCAATCTCTGCAAAAATGCACAATAAAGTTCAGCTAAAACTATTATGACAGTCTGCAGCTCGTCAAATCAAGCGATTATCTTCCAAAGTTACCGTCTTTATACGATGAAATATCCGTTTTGTTTCACTACTCCACCACAACTCAGCAGGGAAAACTGTCAGCTAAAACAGAAAGAGGGAATTTCATAGTAAATATACCATAACTTCAGATGATACCTGCTTGATTTTGCTAACGCGTACTGCAGCGGCACCGTATAAGCTTTAGCTGACTTTAGAGAATGTGTTTACACAGGAGGAGGACTGTGGATTTCGTCGCCCATCTCTTTGACTGGAAGCACATTAGGACAGGACCTTTTAGGAATGATTACAGCAAGCAAAAAGTCTCTCAATATACGTATGAGCGTTAGTAATGTTTTAAGATAGAACACATCTGTCAAACTCGTCCTTTAAGCCCCATGGGCATAGTTTTTTTTCTCTTGGGGGGGGGGGGGGGGGATTTCAATATTACCTCTAATGTATTTAACACTGTTGCAGATACCTGTCCCTTTGCAGCCTAACTGACATTCAGAAAGACAGACATTTAACTAGTTTGCCATTGTTTGTGTTACTAATTAAATTGCTAATTACCAGTAAATAATACCGATATTAAAATAACACCAAGCCAGTGATGAAAGCCACATGGTTTGCCCGCAGTCAGTAGCTAAAAAGCTGTTAGGAACAATAACTTTTATAACATGGGAGGAGGAAAATTTTATTACCCACCTCCCCTTGTAATATTAACCTTGGCAAAATGGGGATTTCAAATATAAAAATTCACTAGAATTAAAGTGAAATGAGTGACTCTGAGATCGCTATCAATGATTCGAGTAATGAAATGTTGAGAAGAAGCTTCCAAATCTCAGCTCTAATCCTTGGACTTTTATTTAGTGATGATGTTTTAAATTCTGAATTTTGAGACCCATATTTTTTCAGATACACAAGTTCCCAGAATTTCCTGGTGCTATTATGTGTTGAGACACTTTACTGAGCTGTGTTGTATGTCTGTCCTTCCTCTCTCCTTCAATCCATTTTGAACCCCCTGCCAGGCTCAGACAAAGCCCCCCCCCCTCTACTTTTTGATGTGTCATGTAGCAGAAGTGGAATAGACATGACAGTACACACACACACACAAACATAGACACATCTTATGGTGTAATGACTTTCTTACTGCTGTGGTGAGCTGCCAGTAGGCCTGTTGAAACCTGCAGAGTAATCCTAGATGTGGAAAGTACCCCTGCAAGTCTGAGTCTGAGACACAGGGAACTGAGGCACAGGAGGCCCACACTATCTACCTGTCGCACACGCACACACACACACACACACACACACACACACACACACACACACACGCACACACGCACACACACACACACACACACACACACACACCCCCAAACGTGCACACAGAGTTGTGCAGTATCACAGCTACTTTCCTCCAGACACGCAACCCAGACTTGATCTGAAATACAGTAAGACCCCCACTACTTCCATCCTGCTATGCTTCTGATGTTGGGGAGGAATCAATGTGCCTGCACTTGTTGATAGGGGAGTGTGTGTGCATGTGCTTGTGCATGTGCGTGTGTGTGTGTGTGTGTGTGTGTTGTGTGTGTGTGTGTGTGTGTGTGTGTGTGTGTGTGTGTGTGTGTGTGTGTTCGTTCATGCCTGTCGGTGAGACCACTCGCACTCAAGGAATGTGTAAGATTTCTCTTTACACATTTGGGCTACTGTATGGAGACGATGTTTCCTGGCTGTGTGTGTGTGTGTCCTGGGTCTCCTCTACGAGCATGTGTATCAGCATGTCGTTTTTGTGAGATCACCTTCCTCACATCTGCAGACCTTCTGACACTCTTCATCTCTTTTTACACCTGGCCTCCCATGATCAAGGCTTCAAGAGAGGGGGCAGGTGTGCTCGCTCCTTGCCCTTCTGACTTGAAAACACAGCCTGTTTCATCGCCTGCCTGCCCCGTGTGCTGCTGGGAGCGGGGGGTGACTCTTGACTTATGACATCCATCTTTTTTCTTCCCCTGCAGTAGTTATGGTTGGGGGAAAGCCCAAATGAAGTCTATGAGTCTATGAGCCCATAAAACAGGCCTTTAATTTGCCTGTATACGCCCAGGAGCTAGTACTACTGTTAGCCTCTTGTTCCTCTGGACTGCAGTCCTGACTATGATCCCACAGGGCGTATAGGTGTATTTGGGTTTGTTAAGATCAGAAAGAAAAATTATGAGTAACGGTTAGGAGGCGGGGACATGTTGGATATCAAACAGGGGCGGTGGGATTCATTGCTTTTGTGTCTTTGTTGGCACAGCACAAAGGGTTTGACTATTGGGTGGAAATTGGAGGGGAAGAAGACCTCTAGCTATGCACCAGCTTTCACAAGATAACAAGTGCCTCCTATTTCCAACATATAATCTATATATTCAAAGACAGAATGAAAGACATATGGGCGGCAATGGCTGGAGGCCTACTGAATAAAACAAGCCATTATTTGTGTCATAATTCAGTGTCCGCCTGACCTTTACATTGGCTGCAGGATTTAGTCTTAAAATCCAGCAGTAAATGAGCATTTCAACACTTCCAGCTCCCTCGTCCCAAAGTTGATGGGTCTTTTAAGTGGATTTTTTAGTAAGATGGTTGAAATAAGGTCCGTAGTTAACACAAACTCAAGACATTTTCATGTTTTATTCTACGACATAAAATATGTCAGTAAATACCCCACTCGTGATCCTTTAAGCTTTTACATCTCTTAAAGAAAATAAGGGTTGCTAACAAGTGGCTACATGAGGCTACAGAGGGTCTCAGGGACATCATCGCCAAACGGGAAAACCGATATACTCACCAGCCGCCTTTACAGCCTCATTGTGTTTATACTCACGCTCTTGCAAACCATTACTAATTTTCTAAAAGGAAAGCCTTATGTAGACAGGTTAAGCCCACTAGGTCAAATTACAAGTTGGAAGTTTTAGCGGTGGTGACGCTGTGACCGCAGCGTAGTTCGTTAATAGCCTCACATTATTTTTTACTTCTGGCGATTGTATTTAGGCTTCTTGAAAGTGGTGTGCATTTGTGAAGATTATTATGATGAACAAAACATTTAACTATCATTAACGTTTGCCACAGAGCTTATTTTCTGCAATAATCCAATTACAAGTTTGTAGAGGGAACCAGGGTGATGCTAACGTCTGCGTTGGCCTATGTCATCCCTGCAGCACTCTATACAGAGAGGGCGCAAGCGAGAGAGGTTTTTAGTTTGACTCTACAATCAGTTCAACATAAAAGTTAGAATCTAAGGTTTTCAGGAAATCAAACCTGGTTTTTTATATATAAACGGGATATGACTATATATCGCATAAGATTAGCATTTGTAATGACCTGTCTGTATAGTAATTTTAGTTAGTGATGGAGTCTGCCATTCCCACACAGTATTTATATTGCCTCACACAGACATGAAGAATTCACAAATAACAATGCATGTATATGAAATGTAGTGTGTAGACTATTTCAAATTTATTAAGTTAATGCTCATATAAATTCCTGCCACTGCTGCTGATTCACATTAATTCTTCAACTGGTGGAAAACACTGGGCGGCTTTTATTGTGAAACAGTCACAGGAATAGCAATGTATGCTCTAACCACGTTCATTTGTCATCAATGTGTTTACAAAACAAAACAAAACAAAACAAGGGTCATTTTCATCAAGAAGGACGAGCCACAACGAGCTGTTAGATGAAGAGCTGCACGACTCCAGCTTCTCAGTAAGGCAACCACTTCCTTTTATTGTGGGAAACTACTTGGCATTGAAATCAGATTGTGATTTGATAAATGTTCTTATTAAAACAATATGAGTTTGTTTGGCTGCATTGTAAACGCATAGACCAGTTGCTCCTCTGTTGAGAGTTTACTCCCCCAGAATTCTAGGACATGTAGTATCAAATCATAATTGATATTACCAAGGTAACCACAGGTGTTGCCAAATCAACTCAGATTAAAATCTCAAAGGTTATAGCTTTAACTAATCCTAAAATGACATGCTATGTAATGGTTAAAATAGTTTTTCATATTCAGTTGTTACAACACCAGCTGAAACTCTTATAGCAAGTATTCTACTATCAATCTATGAGGTAATATCTCAGTTCGTTGGAAACCTATATCACACATCATACCATGAATTCATTAACCTCAAAGCGACCAGTGGATGAAGTAAACAATATTCGTATTATAGGTAGTGAAACAATATTTGCAGTGTCGGCTGGGTGAGAGAAAACTACCAATGAATGCAGCCTTTAAAATTAAGAGATATAATTAATCTGCTGCAGCAATCGAATGTAAAAAAAAAAAAAAGACCTAAACTGCTGTAGAGGCCATTGTAAGTGCAAACACTGATTTAATATTTGATTATTTTATATTTCTTGTTTCCTAAATTGCATTTGGTAGTACCAGTGGAATAGAGGAATTGATTTTTCCGTGAGGTGAATCGTGTGTAACCCACCTGTCTTGTTTCCTGTTGTGCAGTTTGATCATTACTCCCATCGTGACCAGTGCTGAGAGGGAACCAACAGCGCCGAGTACAAACCCCACTTTATCGTCTGTAAAAAAAAAAAAAAAAAAAATCACACCAACACAGAATTATTCGCTGCAATAAGCCATTGGACCTTCTGAACAATGAATCCTCCACATCTTTTATATCTGGATCAATGCAAAGTCAAAAGGCTACCATGGAAGCACAGGACATGACGGAAAACCAAAGAGGACAGATCGATCGACACTCATGGTTCCTCGGAGCAAAGCATCCGGCAGAGCTGCTCAGTGGCCAACAATAGGCCGACAGTTTACCACGCCTGTTCAGTCAGTTTGATTTGGATAAATAAACGATTAAGGTAAAAACTTTCTAGACCAATCAGTGGTTTTCTGTGGTAGCCACAGTGTAGTTCTATGACTGCTAACAAAAACCAAGTGAACTACAGGTTAGAGTAAATGTAAATGTGTAAATGTAATGCTTGGCCAGATATGATTGTTCCGTGATGTCAGCTTCATCTTCTTTTTCACTGTAAACAGATCTGATTTGGTAGCTTGTATTTTAGCACATATTAGCTTCAATAATACTAGTGCTCATGTAAGTGTACACATCTATTGTCTTGCTACATTAGCCAGTGGGTGGGTTAGATATTTAAAAGTACTGATCACTTTTACGCTAATTATGCAATTCAGTCGTCTGAAACTGAATTTCTAGGGAGTTAATTGAATTTTGAATTTCTAGGAATCATCAATGTGATTGTGTTGAATTGGATAAAAACATAAATTCCTGGACATTTAATTTAACCACAAGTGTTTTCTCAGAGCATTTTCTTTATAATGATACACCAAAAGAATATTTTATCCACATTACCTAATTCTACATTCAATAATCATAAAACTTATCAGAAATTGGCCAAAGAGAATATGAACATATGAAAAAACATATATGAGTAGTACTAGTCTTCATCCCTGAGCAGATTTTTCATGCAAGTCAAGCACTGATTTCCCACAAAGAGCCATTGTGTTCTGCCGGTTTATTCATTTTTATAATTACCAAGGGGATCAAACAAAACAAAAATGATACACTGGCTTCAGATAAACATAATAAACAACAAGCTGGATGGACTGATACAACCTCCATTTGCTGGATTTTCCCAGCAGTTGCCTTCACATTGTTTTGCAGTTGCTTAGGTAATACTGTGATCAAATTAGAGCATCTGAAACTTTCCTCCGGGTCTTGGCAATTTCAGTCAAGCGATCTCCAATCTATTTGACTATTCATACGTTACACTTAGCCAGGAGTTATTTTTTTGAAGGCAGGGAAGCACACGAGACGTTACGAGGTACATAACTATCAAAGTACCGTCATCCTCTAATGCATGAATGCACAAACATATGTCAAGTGTGGTAGATGTTTGTCAGGTACGGCACTGCAGGTGCTGTGCCTTTAAAATGTCATCAGCCTTGGAACATCAAACACACACAAAGGCATCCAGAAACAAACTGAAATACACACCAACGTGTGCAAATATTTCCTGAAGTTTCTGAACCAATCAGTTTCGCCACACATGGCCAGGCCTTGGACGCGGCAGCGCTGGCATCAGACTGTTGGACACCGAGGCCTACAGCATCAGTGCGACAAGCTGCCCAAAGCATAATTGTATTGGGAGTGTGTGAGGGACTGGCAGTCAATCAGTGTTAACATTCACCTTCTTCCTTTTTCCCTGCTGGCAAAACCCCAAAGCTATCTCATTACTCCACTAAACCGACCTGCATTGATCAAACAGTAAAGCTCCAGGGAGCAATAGCTCTTAGTTTGGGCCATTATATTTCTTGTGAAAGGGGATTAACACATGACAGACATCATGTTGTTGGACTGAACTAGCTGAAGCTAACAGAGGACAGAAAAGGGTGTTTTCTATACAACTCAAAGACGGCCGTGTATATATCACCCATCTCCATCTTCTGCACTTGGATTCAAGTAGATAAAAGTGATTCTATTTTGCACGTTATTCCTGCAATTTGCTACAAATTCAAATTCAAAAACTTATCAATTTCTGAACTCATCATCATTCAATCCCTTTTCCAGTGTTTATCTCACAAAGAAATAGCAAACAGATGATACCGATCAGAAATCCAAGACTGTTTTCATAAGCCTGCCCCGCCCATATACCCCTGAGCTACACTCTTATCACATGAAGCATTTCTTAAGATAGAGATGAGCTTTTTTTTGTCAGCACTGATATCATCTTAAAATAATTCTGTTGATTTTTTTTCTCTCCCTGGTAACAGTGCCTCTCTGTGTGAACCTACTGTTGTCATCTGATATGTGTATCTCAGCCTGTCTAACTTAATGTGATGGGTGGAAGTATTCTTGGAATTTGAACCATGTGTCAGACGGCGAACTTCATCGAATGTTTCACATACAAACTTAACAAGCAAACAATTGCATGAATGCACTCACAAAACACAAAGCCTGGTAGAACACAACTCATACTCATATGATACCCGGACAGTCAACACAGCAGTGTGTGTGTGTGTGTGTGTGTGTGTGTGTGTGTGTCTCTGTCTGTATAAATGTGTGTGTACGGTTTCTTATCAAACTGCATTTTATCTGTTTAATAAAATCAAGCATTTTAATCTAATCATCGTCAAAAAAGTAAACTTGTAATTTTCACAACTCAAGTCTCTTTCTGTTATTTAATTTTCCCATCCCTCATATACACCAGTCTAATCAATTAAAGTTGCTTCGTGCAGACGTCAATGCTGCCTATCAGTGGGTCCAAACCTTTTCAGTCTGCCGCCTCTCTATCAGATGAGCTCAAGTACCCTTTCATCAACACCCCGTCAGGTTTTATTGTTTTTATCTGGATGTTATCTAACACTAATGATTATATAAAAGCACTTGTGACTTGTGACTTGTTAATGTTAAAGATTGGTCTCCTCTTTTTTTAGTAGGTTTGGTAAAGTTTGCATTTGTACTATTGTGGTGTCAAAATTTGGGAGTTATCCATTCATTTTTGCATTTCTTTATGTCGCCTCTGTTCACTTGCTGATAGTTTATTAGTTATTGTGGTGCTTATATATTAGAGATAAGCCACACACCAATGTATGTTTTGAAATTAGCTGAGACTGTACTGGTGGTTGGGAGTCACTACTGCATATCATAGATATTATGATATAATTGCAGGACCATAGTTAAAAGAATTCGTAGCCATTGTCTCTCACAGGTATTACTGTTGCTGTGTCCTGAAAACCCAAATGTTGGAAATGGATTCAAAATGGCTTGATCACCTCTATGATGATCACTAAAGAAGCTGGTCTGTTCAGTCTGTTCATTTTTTGTTTGAGCTTCACATTGTAAGCGATATCCCTAAAAGAGAATCCCCCGTTTAAAAAAAAAATTGTTTTCACGTGTAAAGATAGCAGGGTGGAGAAAAGAGCCACACATGAGAAGCAGGCGGTCACTGCACAGACAGAACATGAAGCGGTGGGCGTTAAAGGCTGCAAATCTTGTAAACAACAGACTTGTCATTCAGATTTAGACCTCACCACAGCATGGAAACAGCCCTCATCAAATATGTCAATAATCTGTGCGTAACCACAAACTCAACGACAGTTTTCCACTCTTGTGCCTCTCTACATCTTGTCGCAGCCTTTGACACTGTCGATCACGCAACACTGTCCGACTGGAAAGGTGGATCCACAAAAATTGTTCAGGTAAATCTGACTTAAGTTTGAGATGGATTTGATTATATTTCTCCAAATATTTCTACAACTCTCTCTTCAATTTAAAGTTGACAATCACATCATTGGTGTGTAGAGTAAAAAGAAACTTGTAATGAAGAAAAAAGAATAGGAAATGAGGACAGGAAGTGGTAATCAATTAAGGCGTGACAGAGAAGAGAGACAGCCTGTTTAGTGGACCTTCCCAGGCAGAGACCTTTGTACAGTGACAAAGACTGTGAAGTGTGAGCAACATGACTGGTTAAAAAGTCTCAAGCTTGTCTTGGTTGACATTTCAACAACAACTTCTTTTACGCAACCTGGATTTACCAACCACTTCTGTCTCTCTCTCTCTCTCTCTCTCTCGCTCCCTCTGCTTTCCAGCACTCTGTCTCAGGGGGATCTGAGAAGGGAACCACAGGCAGGAAACTGAGGCTTTGTCTCGCAACCCACGTCACTTTTTCCTGTGAAAAATCGCTCTATCCCTCTCTGGCAGCTGTCACATTTCCTTTAATCACTTTCTTCTCCTCTGCACAAGGAACTCTATTAATATCATAATGCCATTAAGGTTGGGGTGATCATGTTATTGATATGGATCTGATGCTCAAGCAGGGTTACTGTTTTTCAGAAGACTGTGACACGCTGCATCCAAGTTATTAAACTCTATAATCCCATACTTCTCAAGTCTCCTAAGGCCCTGTCTGCACTGAGATCAAATACAGTCCAAGGACTTTCTTTCCAAACCGCACCCTCGCCTCTCCAACAACCGTGACATAACATATTAACGTTGGTCATCACAATACACCGTACCCCTGCCGTAAGTCAAAGTACAGCAGCAGGTTATCATCCATCTCAAATAGGTAGGGGGCTTTTGGTGATGATGGGCAATATTTATAGAGAGATCCACTTTTGATGGAAGGGACTGAGTGTCACCTCTGCTGACAGGCTCCTTTTCAACAGTAGCTCATTAAAGTGATGCAGAGAAGAACTCAAACTGGATGCGGTGGCATTTCTTTTTCTGCAGCACGCCGTTCATCCTGACTATGACAACAGTTCTCTGGCTGTTCAGCCTACACATCACGCTGCAGTGATTCATGCGAGGGGAGGAGGAGAGATCAGTCGGGGCATCTCTTTCTAGGCCTGTATTTAGTATTGTTTACATGGCTGGAGGTCACATTTCAATGGCGGAGGTAACAGCTCATGCAACACCTGCCATTTAGCACCTCAGGTCATGTTGACAGTTGTTAGCTGTGATTTGAGTAATGAGAGCGTCAGAGCAAGTGTGATCATTGTCAAATATCTAAAAAGGCCCAGCTTTGTTTGTGGGTATGTGTGTGTTCAACATGCATGAGGCTCTGACTCACACTGATTGTGCTTATCTGAACATGCATGTGAATATACTGTGTGTGCATGAAGCAGTGAGACTATTTGTCTCCCAACACATCCACATCACTTTCTAAACGTTCTGTCTGCTGCTGCAGTAATGACAAAGAAAGTGTTTGGTGGTATGTATAACAAATAGAGGTAAGATAACTAAAACCTGAGCACAACAGCTAGTGAGACGTGTCACAGTGAGAGGTAAGCAAAATGAAAACTGAAAGAAAGAACAAAATGAATCACGTGGCTTAATATGAAACATTTCTAAACAGCTCTGTATTGGATAATCAAGTTATGAAACTAATATGTTTTCCTAGTGAAGGAGTTTTAGGATCGATTGTGTCCAGCTGTGACCCGGGGGCCTCCAAATCTGATATATGAAGTCTATTCATCCCTGATTACTATCACGAGGAAGTCTCTGTTTGCAGCTCTAACAAGGAAAGGATGGAGGGCTGTGGTGAAGCCGCGAAGGGATGAAAGCGGAGGTGGATCGCAAGTCAAGTGGTTTCGTTTCTCTGCTTCCTCTCACTTCACTACGACTGAGAGATCAATGAAGAAAGAAAACTCTGACATGTGTAATGAAGAGATTAAAGATCTAATTTCATCAAATCTCTCCGTCACTGCGATACGAATGAATAACGACTGTGTTGTTGCCTGTAATTTTTTTCAAGGTTTTATAAAAACCAGCCTGCTTCACACCGTTAACCTGCTCTGAATTTAGTGTGAAATTCTGCCATCTGATGGCAACAGCTGACAACTACAACAACACTCATTCAGAGTTCACAGTTGGGGTGATGAATGAAACCATTACGGGGACCCAGGTGGTTCCAATTTACAAACACAAAGCCAGCCAACCCAGGTTCAAAAGTTTATAGCTTTGCAGCTAATGGTCTGCATGGACAACAGAGAGCCAAGTCTATTGAATCTTTGCTTTCCAAGGGGCTGGATGAGGAGACGAGGATTCCCAAAGTCCCTCTCAGTTTTCACTGGAGCATGCTGCCAATCGTACGGAATAAAAAACATGTGAGGAGTAAGTTAGGAATAAATAAATTAGTTTCTTTATTTATGTTGTACCTTTCTAAAACAATTAATGACCAAACTGCTTCACAAGGGAATAAAACTAAAAGAATAAGCTACTTCACACACTGATTGGGATGATGCAGACAAAACACAGTGAAAGTTGTGCATGTTTTAACTCTATTTAAATTATATTTGTAATTACACCTGACACCCCCCCCCCCCCACCCCCACCCCCATGCAGCCATTGGTTTTCTATTCTGTCAAGTATGAAATTCAACTCCATAGAGCTAATGTGCCTAAAATATATTAGTATTTACAAATCATTTTAAGTTATTTTTTGTGTTTGAGAATATATAAGTTTGGGTGTTTGTTCTCTGGGTTAGATTTCTGAGAAAACAGCTGATGAATTCGATGCTCTTCTGAGGCCAACTCTCAAAACCATTTCAAAACTTTGACTCTAATGTCGAAGTATCAGTTAAGGCAGCACAGAGAACAGTTTTCAAGAAGTTCCAGGTATTGTTTACAGGGAATATTTATAGTACACTTTATCATATGTCTCCAAAGATATTGGTGTAATTCTCATTGACATTACAGTCGAGTCTATTTGTCTCAACACATCCAGCTGTTTGTTTTGTTTTTTATAAGAACCAACAAACCAATATTAGAACCAACCTGTTATACAGTAGGGTTGCTCTCCTGTCCAGGTCCCATCAACCAGACAGGTGCGCTGTGTTGAACCGTACAGTATGTAGCCGTCACTGCAGGAGAAGCTCAGAGCGTCCCCCTTTAGGTAATTTGTCCCATTCTTCTTCCCATTGCTGGGTGTGGGAAGCCAACCACAAGAAACCACTACGGAACAATGACACATTCAAACATAGTAACACACTAAAATAGATATGAAGATGTATGTGAACACACACAACTTTCAAAACTAATGCATTTGCTTCATTAAGGTTTCTTATGGCATATTACTGGTTGAATTCCTGACCAAGCTCTCACTGGGCCTGTATGTTGCATTTTCAGGCGCAGCATTATTTATTCAGAGATAAAAAAAAACAAGCAACAATAAACATGTAATCGCCTACAAATGATACTGTTGCCCTTAAGTATTATCACACAAAAAAATAGACACACAATAGACACAAGTATAAAAGACAATGACTGAATGGACAGAGATTAATCTTGTTTCACTCGGTACCTGGCTGAAGGGCTTCCATTAGGGCCTGGAGGTTTTGGTAGGCCCTGAGTGTGGCGTTTCCCACCGCCAGGCTCCGAGTGGTCAAGGTATCAAATTTACAGAACTGTGCCCCATCTCCTCGGCACGTCGTCAACATGTCTGCCACCAGAGGGTCATCAGGTGTCTCAGGTGGTAGAGAAAAGGCAGGAACAAAGGCAGCGTCGTGGCTTGGTGGGAAACCGTAAGTATCCAAAAGGTACTTTGAGTCGTATGTGAAAAGGGAAGACGTCTTTGAAATATTCCCTGTGGAACAAAAATAAAACACAGCACCAGTTAAGATCTGCGACCATTCTGTATTTCGGGTTTGAACATCTAATTACACGTTTCAGACTGATCTTAAAACCAACTGAAATAGCAGTGGAGGTTGTGAAATCAAGAGTATCCATAATCACACATGCAGTATCTGAAACGTTTTACTCAATATAGAATAAACAAAGCACGTGCAGCAAAACAGTAAAACATATAAGAGAATGGGTAACTAGAGAGACTGACTAATAACCAACTTTTTGGGTACCACAAGTTGTCATGGCAACCCATCAAACATGGCTAACCACATTTATGGGAATTATTGCCAAAGCAACAAGTTTAATATTTGTGTTGTTTTTTTTGAGTGAGAATTGATTATTTCAGTATTGATTGATCTTGATTGATCGCTTTTTCAAAAGTAGAAGTTTAACAGAGTTCAACGGTCTTTCACACTCACAGCCAGCTCCAAAGGTGAAGATCTGCTCCGGCGTGGCGTCAGCTGTGGAGATGACCTCTCCCTGTTGAGTCAACATGTCATCTGATGGGTCAGAGTTCATCCGACCAAGGAGACCCCGGGTGTGGTTGGCGAACTCCGATGGCAGCAGGACAGTCACCGCCATGACTCCTTCATGCACACGCACCTCCACGCCAACACCGGAGAGGAACATTACTGTCACATTCTGAGGACTGGGGACGAACACAAACGCTCCTGGAAAAGAGAGATTTAATTGAAATGTTGAAAACATAAAAAACTGGACATGTGAAATACATTAAGGTCACAACTGTAGATGCCAATTCAGTAAAGGCTGCCGTTAAAATACTCAAATTTAAGTTTCATTTTGAAGTCACTGGTGAATCTTAACTTTTTAGACCTCCTTTTCCAAAGTGCAAAAATGTCTAGTGCAGCTTAAACCCAGTCAGGAGTAGGGTTAGGGTTAGAGGTGAAGGGGTCTAAAGTATCTCACTGTGTAGGTCCATCCATCTCTGCTCGGTGAGAGGCAGGACCTTTTGGTTCCTCAGCACCTGAAGGCGATCCTCTGCTAGACGCACCTCGATGACATCAGAGGTCTTCTCCCTCATAGCCACTGACGACAGCCTTGTGGCTCTGGCCAAGGTGCCTTGGTGGTAAACAGATATCACATTGTTACGGGTGCATTAGGTAGTGAGTATTATGAAGTCAAGAATGGTTTCATCACTGCTGAAGTCTCTGCAATATCAAATAATCCAGATGTTTGACTTCACTGATGTAATGAGAAGAATATTAATGACATTTGGCCATCTATTAGTCACTCGCCCCACGGCTGTTGTGTAATGGCTTGAAGGAAATTCTAAACAATGAAGCTAACAACCGTTAGTCTTCACCCGATCTGACCCTGAGAGACACAAGAGGGAATCAAGGAAGTAGGTTGTCATTTTACAGCAGCTCACTTCTTACAACACTTTCTCTCAGAACTGTGTGAAAGATAAGAGGGAGCCTTAAACACTGCAGAGTGCAGGCAAAGGAAGACAAATAAAAATTCAGTAAGAAATATGAAGGTCAATACATCTGAGCAAACTCTAGAGGGAGGCAATCAATCTTTGTGCTTGTAAAAAAAAATACACAAATTGAACCATAAATAAGCTCTCTAAAGAAGTCCTGAAGCAAGTTTCATCCAAACAAAGCTTTGAGCAAAAAGATGAGAGGTGCAATAACTCCGTGGGGAGGGATGAAAGACGGGGTAGAGACAGGGCATTCATATCAAATGTGGACTCACCGTTCTTGAGTTTCAGCCGTTCTGTTCTGGCCTGAACACTCAGCTCTCTGTCTGGCGAAGACACAAGGTAGTACTCTCCTTTGCCATTGAAAGTGTAGCTCAGGCCGTCGAACGTTATGAAATGTGGATCCCCAAAGACAACACCTGCGAGGGATCAAGAAGCAAAGCACTGATGCATTTACATCAGTTTATCTTTCAGTTCATCTAAACAATGGTTTTCCAATGTCAGAGCGCGGCTTAATGTTGCATTTATAGTCTCTGGAGGGCAGGTAGTCAATTGTATGATCTAATATATTCCCACATCTTAACCCTCACCTGCAGCCTGTAATTCATTTACTTCTTCTGTGTGTGCAGCCACACAGAGGCAATTAGATAGAGATGAACAAACACACACATAAAAACACACTCTCCCTATTTCTTGTACTTTTTAATTTACTTTTTCAAGTCTCAGTTTTACTCAAAATTGGAAACCAGAGTTGAGACTCAGTATTCACCTATAACTAGGTATGACTGATGTTTAAGAAACATATAATATCCTTATGTTATCTCAAATTAATATGACATACACTATTACCTTAATAACTATAAGCTCCTAAAATAGAACTAAACATGCTTGTTTCATTTGAATAAAAAAAAAAATCATTCTTTTAAATTGTTTTCCTGTAAGACATAATGCAACAACTTCCCATTTACATCAAGGTAGATGAGCAACAACTGAACTAGAAAGCTGATTTAAATAAACTGTTTTAGATATAAACTGGTCTAAATAGGGGCATCATTATCACTGTGCTGTGTTAGTGTGTTAATCATCTTGTGGGTCTTTTGCTGTGACAGTTGTAAGTGTTGAAAAGAGTCTATGAAAACATTTGATTTGACTTAAGAATGGTCTCACCAGCTGTTGGGGGCTGGTAGTTGCGACATCCGCTGGAAGGCCGCTGGCTGAGGTAGATGTGGCAGTGGTCAGACCAAAGGCAGCAGTAGTAGAAACTCATGACATCATAAAGCCAGTGGGAGTACCCTGGCACCCGCGGTGGTTCCCTGTATGGAGGGGAGCCCCAATCGTGAGCCCTGTCTGGGGTGCTGCCACCTGTCGAGTCTCCCGTCAGCACCAGGGCACCAGTGCTGTCGTAGCAGCACTTCTGTCCTGATCCAAGCGTAGGACTGGAAATATCAGGGGAAAAAAGTCATAATGAAAAGGAGAGCAATGTTTCCATTTAGATTTTTAAAAAGGTAAAGTCTTTCCTCATGTCACTCCTACCTGGCTTGAATTGCTCCGACGCAGTGGACACTACCTGGGTGATAAGCGCACACACTGCCGCTCTCAATGTCACAACTGTAGTCAGTCTGCAACAAGTGAACAGTGAGTGAAAATAATCAATAAAATAATAATAAATGAAGAGCTGCAACGATTAGTCAATAAATGATTAATTGATTGATTGATTGATTGTTTGCTGTACAGTCAGTTAAATATATTTGGGTTTTGTACTGTTGGTTGGTCAAAACAAGCCTTTAGGCTCTTGGAAATTACAAGGGCCTTTTCAAAAAATGTTTTACATTTTATGGATTTAAAAACGTATCAATTACTTGAGAAAATAATAACAGATTAATTGAAATAATCATTAAGTGCAGCCCTAAATACATGTCATTCAATATGATTTGGCGATACAGGACTCTGTTTAAGTGGCCTTAACACTAATGACAGAGCTTATGATTTAATATAAAGCATGTTCCCAAAATTCATATTATTGTAATTTCTTTGACTAGTTTTGTTTCCCTGTGGTTAGAGTGGATGAATTCTTATCTTGCCACATCGCTGTCATCCATGGAAGTCACTTTAGTGCTGAGTCAAGAACTTTTTTCAAGAAAAAAACAGAACAGATTGTATGACAGGAACTGCACATATCCTTTGCCATACTCTGCCATTATAGATATTACTATGACTACTTCTTGGACTGAAAAATTTAATTATATATATGTGTGTATATATATATATATATATATATATATACACATATGTTAATTATATAACAATAGTGGATTTGTTGTGGTGGGTGTACTCACATGAAACCTGCCTGTGTCTGCTCGGGCCTGTGCCAGAGTGCAAGGACAGTCAATGAGCTCATTGAGGAAGTTGGGCAGTTTTTTCTCCATGATGTCCCATTGCAAACACTTGTTCTTGGCCCAGGCAGCAGAGTCGTCTCTGAAAGCCTGCTCCAAGTGCCAGGCTAAGACATGACCTCCACTCCAGAGTCCCTGTACATCCCTGTGCATCAACAATTACCATTCAAAGTTACTTTGAACTCATAATTTTAAATTTATAAACTTAAAAACACAAATGAAATTATTATGATTCAAAAATCTAATAATTATCCCAGACCCAGAGGTAACATCTTGGAAAAGTTTGTTTAGACCGACCAACAGTAAAAAAGAAAAAATAATCAATTTTTTTTGCTTTTCTTTTTGCTTGTGATTATTCGCGCATCAACAGAGCTGTTAACTGTTGATTATCTGTCAATCATCTAATCATTTAGCTGATGAATGGGTTCAGCTGCCTGTGGTCTGACCAATACTACACAATGTGACAGTCAAACTCTACATACGCCCCATGCTCTTTACATTATCTTAATGTTGGTTATCATCTCCATACGGCAGGAAAAGGCATGTTGGGTTTTAGGTTTTACAGCAGGCACATGTGAGGATATGATTATTGCATCACCTCTCTATCCTATGAGCAAGCAACACTGACTTTCTAATACTGATTCATATGAACTAAATGTGAAAGCTAAAAACATTTGAAAATACTGTTTTTCTACAATTGGGCCAATTCATAACAGCTATAAATTCAGCAGCATTACAATGATGCTGGAATCAGTCAAATATAGGCAGAAACCGGATGTTGAGATACGGTGTGTATTATGGATACCTTGCTCCATCTGACTTAGAACTGGCAGCAATGCGTATATTCCCCAACTCCCAGTCAGAGTAGTCCTTTGAGCTCTCGGGGATGAAGCTGAAGGCACCAGTGTTGACCAGATCCCTGCCCAGAGAGTACAGGTAGCTCAGCTCTGCCCGCAGAGAGGATGATCCCTTCATCCCCGCCTCTGTGCTCCCGTTGAACTCTCTGTAACCCCACAGCTCTATGTTGACCTTATCTGCTCCAATCAAAGAGCTGTTCCACGTCATCTTGAGTCGGCCCGCTGTGTTTGGTGTTCCATAGTACTGCCACTGTGTTGCATTCACGAGGGCGACTTCGAAAGCAGGGTCTGCTTTACTGGGGTGGACTGACAGTGAACACGAAATGTTAAGGGGACACACATGTAACCAGTTCTGATGTAAGCAGAGTTTTGTTGATCCAAAGTAAAAATAATGTCAGGTTGTGCAACCATAAGAGGAGACAGGAATATAACTGCAATAACAAGGCCATTTTGTTCCATTACAACTCTTACTCAAATAGTTAATACTGTAATTATATGTTGGCAGCAGTAATAATCATTTCTGCAAAATGTGTATGTTATCTAAACTTTTCACAGGGGAAAATTTTGATATTTTTTTGATGGTAAGATCAAAGTAACTAGTTGAAAATACAATCCTTAAAGCTACAACTGAAATACTGCATTTCAAATCATTTCTGATCACTGATCCTAAAATCAATTTTATATTTTCAGCAACTTACCTGACAAGTACTCTCCAGATCTGTCAAAATTGATTCCGTCGGTCGAGACATCAAATGGTATCCAACCCGTCTCATACAATAAAGGAGAGATACAGTGGGCGTGGCCTTCAGCATCAATAAACCCCTCTCGTACAATCTCACCTTTAAACCTACAACAGAAACAGACAAACTTGAATTTATTAGATCTTTAGCCTGCTACACAACACGACTACTTTGTTCTTATGCAGTTTCTCTGCTGTAAACACTGATGTTCCATTGTCAGTAAAATAACAATTTTCAGTGCTTTCTTGCAACACGACACGAGTCAACCGTCAGAAAATAATATGTGATTTCAAAAGGTAGGATTTTTTTTCTTTGCATAGGCAGCATGTTTCCAATAGCTTTTAATACAGGAACATTATTAAGGCATAGAGATTGTATGAGCAGCATATTTACTAATCATGTTGCACAATTTCATTTCAGACACCACTTCAACATTTACTCATTTTGTGACAGTCACTATGAAAGAGACTCTACTGAAATGTTTTGTGCTTAATATTAATGTATGATTTTTTATATCATTGATTGAAATACAAATATCACTGATCAATAGTTTATACGACCTCTTATCTGCATACATAGTACATGTAGGCTATCACAAAACAAGATATACTGCAAAAAAAAACCATATGTACTATGCAGTATATACTATACAATTTAGACTCAGCAGCCACTTTATTAGGTACACCTGTATTGAAGTTGTAGGGGTGTTGAGCATGACATGTTTTGGCCATCCCATTTACAAACATGAAGGGGCACGTTCATAGACACAAACCTGCAGAGAAGTCGCCCATTAGGATGAAGGACCAAACTGAGGATCCTGAGAGCTCTTCCACCTAGCATGGAGCTGGAGTGAGGCGTCACCAGGATACAGGACTGGTTGTAGTCTGCACAGCAGTTCAGCAAAGACGCACAGGTTGCATGGCAGGAGCATTCCTCCAATATGTCTCCACACTTTCCCCTGCATGTTTGACCTCATAAATAAAAATGACAGACTAATAACTCATCACAAATAATGCCAAACGTTCTCAAAATCATTAAATGATTAAACAAAATCACACTTAATTCTATGAAAGTCCTAAGCAAAATCTGCATACCACATTCTACCATTTGTTTTTAAGTATCCAGTTATGTTACAAAATGCTAACAAGTTGTAAAAATTCTACATTTGTTTACTATATGCAAAAGATGAACAGCTGTCAGCAAATGTGAACAGTGATTTGTGATGATGTGATGTACATCATCTTATATTGGCACTCAGTCTTTAAAGCATCTTTTAAAGCCACTTACCAGCTGCTTTAGTAGAGCAAATAAGAACAATCCCACAGAGAAAAATGGTCTCTCCCAAGTTTACTCTCATGTTTATCTTAAGAGAACAAAGCAACAATCCGTGAACAGTCATTCCTGCATTACACCATCCTTGGGTGAAACTTTAGCTTTGAGTTTCGAAGTGTATCAAAGGTCAAATAGCAAACAAACAAAAGTTTTTAGTGGCGATTATTAAGTTACGAATTAACAGACGACATTTTAACAAAGTTCGGTAGTATTTCATTTTTTTCACGATGACATATCAACTATATATATATTATATATATATATATTATATATACTATATTCTTGACAATACGCACACTGTCATGTTTATTATTTTGTTTATAAATGATTTTAGCATGGATTTTAAGTTAACCATTACCGCCTGTGTTCATCTTGGGTTCCTCCTGTTTATTCACGTTGAAAATGTATTCTCGCGAGACTTTTCGGGTTCAGAATATAGCGCATGCGCACTTCACATCTTGCGAGGTTTCAGAATGAATTGGAGGGGACTGACAAATTAAGTAGAATAATTGTCCATATTTCTGTTCAATTCGTCCGGAATCATTTCTCCAAGTTTACCGCAACAACAACCAGAATGGACGAATAACAGGGGGGACAATGACGTTTTTCTTTGTGAACTAGCAAGCTAACAAGCTAGCTAACGTTAGCTCCGGGCTCAGCTAGCCAGCAGCATCAGTAGCTGCCAATAATACAAGACATTAGCTCTCAAGGTAGTACTCACAGGAAAAATGTATTTTCTATATACAATCATCGCGTCTTTAGTTTCTTTTTTCATTCTGAAATGGATGAAAAAGCGGAAGTATTGCACAGACCTGAAAAGACTTGATGGCAAAACAGTTCTTATTACAGGTAAATAAACATGTCTTGCTTTTTGCGGCAAATATCTCCGTAACTCACGTGTTAATGGCCTATACTGTGCAGATCATTGTATTTTGGATTGATATCGTCAGTCTGAGTATAAAAGCTGAATAACATTTACACCAAACATCAATGCCTGTATCCTGATATTACAGTATTCAGATTGCAGGCAGCGTTACTGTTATCCTCTTCGTGTCGTAAGCCTCACGTGAGCATTAATGCACGAATTTACTATTTTTATTTATTTATTTTATTTGCAGGTGGCAATTCTGGGATTGGCAAGGAAACAGCTGTTGCCTTGGCAATGAGAGGCGCCAGGGTCATCATTGCTTGCAGAGACCTGGACAAGGCTGAGAAGGCTGTGAGGGAGATCAAGTTCAAGAGTCACAGTCTTAACGTCCTCCACATGGAGCTGGATCTGGCCAACCTGCGCTCTGTACGGGAATTCTGCAAGAGCTTCCTTCAGAGAGAGAAGAGACTTGACATCCTGATCAATAATGCAGGTGAGGGGTCTCTTGATACAAGAAACAACAAACAACAAGGATTTATGGAGTTTTTATTTATCTGAATCAAGGGATAGAGGATGCTAAGTGTTGTACTGATTGAGGCAAGATTGAGATTTTGAGCTATATAAATAAAATGGACTTGACATAAGGCTACATGATTATGGCTAAAATTACTATATTTTTGCTCAATGTTGGTCTCAATTCTATATTTTTATTATATAAAAAACAAGGATTTACTGAACTTGTGTCGTTTTAATGGACTTAAACAAGAAGATCTCTAACAAGGGATTTAGTAATAACGTAAATGTTACATGATCAACCAAAACAAATGGATTGAGAGTCCTCCAAGGAAAAGTCCATAGTGAAACCAGTCACTCCATGGTCAAGAACAAAAGTAAAAACCTGTTATTGCTATTTACATGTGAATGTGAATAGTGATTTTTTTTTATCATCTAAAAATCCTATTTCTACTTTTTCCACCTCATTATTCTGACCTTTCTCTTTGCCCTCTGTTTTGCTTCTTCAGCCATGCCCAGTGTCCTCGACTGGACAGACGACAGCTTTAGCATGTGTTTTGGCGTCAACCACTTAGGTCACTTCCTCCTCACCAATCTGCTTCTGCCTCGCCTGAAAGAGTGTGCCCCCAGCCGGGTGGTCACCCTCACATGCTCCACCTACAAATACCAGAAGCTGGACTTCCAGGACCTCAACTACAACCTGCTGCCCTTCTTCACCTACTGCCGCAGCAAGCTGGCAAACATCTACTTCAGCCAGGAACTGGCCCGCATCACAGAGGGGAAAGAAGTGACCTCCTATGCTGTGCACCCTGGTAAGAGTTTTTATTTATTTATTTATTTATTTATTTAAATAAGAACATATGAGACTTGCAAGTTGAAATCTCACATATTATTAAAAGAAAACTGACTAACAATGACTGATATGGGTGTGTGTTTGTCTTTATTACACGCTTTTTTTTTTAAATCAATATCAAAATGTAAAACAGCTTCCAAAGGAACAAGAGAAGATCATCCACCTACTAAAACTGCAAGCTCTGCTAGGCAAATGAAGACCTTGACAGTCACACCAAAGCATTGTTAAATTTTGGGGAGGTTGCAGTTGTAATGTGTAGATAACTGTGCTTACATGTGTTGCTCCAGGGTTTGTCCAGAGTGGCTGGACGTGCCACTACTCCGTCCTGTTCCGGATGCTGATGAAGGTGATCATGTGGATGTTTTTTGTGCCTTGTGAGACTGGAGCTCAGACTGTCATCTACTGTGCTGTGTCAGAAGAAGCTGCCAAACACAGCGGGGGTTACTTCGTAGACTGCCGACACTCCACTCTGCGTCCTTTCGCGAGAGACGCTGGCGTGGCAAAAAAGCTGTGGGAAGCCAGTGAGAGACTGGTGAAAATGGCCTGATGGTAGAAGCTGCGGAAACAGTTTAGTTCTTTTGGTTTTATTTATTGATTTTTTGAGGTATTATTTATTTTCAAGTTTTTTTATTACTGTGTTTTTTACAAGTATTTTTGTTGTACATCTAAGATTTATGTACCTTTATGTGCTTGTGTATTTTAAGAAGTAATGTTTTTTTTCAACATGATTTCTTTTGTGGATCATCAGTTTTTTATGCACAAATAAAAGGACTTTTCTTGGGATTGTACATTGTTGTTTAATTAAATTAGTTATTTTTTTCATACACTTGTTTGTGTAACCTGAACTGACGAGGTGATTATTTCCTTTTTACTAAGTATATTTGTTGATTTTTCACTTTAAAATATTTTTTTCAGTACACAATTCTAAGGCTCTATATGTGGAAATTTGCCCTAAATTCTGTTCATAAAACAAACAGCAGCATCTGCTGGTGAGAAAATGAAAGGTCGGCAGCGAGTTAGTTACTTAGCAAGAAGGGAAGGGAAATTACTGAACAGAGCTGAGACACAATTACAGGAAATAGGATCTCTCTGAAAAACACTAAATAGAAGGACTGTTATCTGTAATGCAAAGGGACAGGGATTTGCTGTTAAAGGATAATTTACATTTGAGAGAAATGGCTGAGAAGATTGCTCTTGTTGAAAGTTTCCTGAGTTGCCATGTGTGTTCAGAGACTTTAAGAGATCCTGTGTCTGTGTCCCATTTGTAAAAGAAAATCCTCAAAAGATTCTCCACTGATAAACTTTGCACTGAAGGAAGTGGCTGATTCCTTTGCTGGGAGAAGGAAATCTGAATCTCCTGACAGAAAAAGAGGAGCAAAAACTAGAAGTAGTGTGTAGTAAACATCAAGCTCTCTATGCTGCAGCCTGGAGAGCTCCTACATGTTCACCCTGTGGGACGGCCTCATGACGCATCGTCTACACTGCCTCCAGGAAGTTGTCTTTATTCAGTGTGACAACGTTCAACACTTTGGCAGCACCACTCGCCCTCGTCCTGACCAGGTTATCATCCTGGTCAAACTTTAACTTAACATTTTGTACCCTGACCAGGCTGTGTTTCATGTTAACTGTTTATTTGCTACTCGTTTTATGCAAATCTACTAACCCAAGAGTATTTGGGATTCATTGTTAGACTATTTCAATAAGGGATATGAGAGAGCGGAGATTTAAGAGAAGTTGAATCTTCCATTTAATACAACATCCACCAGAGGACAAAGTGTTAGCAATGACTTATGGTTTTATGGTTTAATTACTGTTGCTGCATAGTTTGTTTTTCATTTCTGTTACACTTGATAATCTTTACAATCCCCATGTTGTTTATGAAAAACATCAGTTAATGATAAAAGACTAATCTTGAGAATCTGAACACATCTGGAAATTTCTTCAATCCTAAACAATTCCTCTGTTTTTTTCACAATAAGAGATCTGATTGAAATTTAGTTTATTTCTAATTGTTTGTTGGGATTTCTATTGATTGTTTCCTTGGCAGCAACTATTCTTTGTGGATCTGGCGAGCTTTACAGTGAATGTTGTGCACCATCCTGGTCAAAGGTCATGTTTTACATGGAGGCCATTTACTGTGATCTGAACAGACTGCAGCCGTCACGTTTTGCTGTTTCACCTTTTTCACCTCTCATTCTTCTGTTGGAGATTGGTCCTAATCATGTGTTGTTCAGCCGGACGCTTTATGGAAAATGTTACTATTAAACAACTTCTGTTCCTGTCTGAACTACATCTTTCTTACTTTAATGTGTCATGACTTTTGCTCTTAATAAGAACCATGAAAAGTGTTATTTGTAAGGTTTTTATGCAGCTGCTACTAGAATACTACCAAGTGGAGATCGAAACAAACAGTGAGATAAAGGAAGGTTCAGTCGAGTTTCACTGTGTCCTTCTTGAATTTCTTTAAGAGCTGACACCACAAATTATGACAATATGAAATCAGTGTTTCAAGCATTTTGAGGTGGATGTATTCTTTGCTATTTTAACTTTATCTCCTCAACAGCAAAGTCTTTAACAAACTACTTTCATTATCATATTGATAAATTCAAGATGTCTTTTAAAATAATTACTGAAAACATTTATGTTGTTTCAAACATAGAAGTTGATAATTTGTTATTTCAGTTGCAATTTTTTATAATACTGATTCCAGCTAATGAATGAGGAGACAAACACCAGTAATCCTAAATGTGAACAAGAAGATAAAGACACTTAATGAATAAATGAATCAAATAAATAAATTAATTAATTAATGAATAAAATAAGATGGAAAAAAAAAGCAAAACACTGGCCATAAGAAACTCTGATTCTCTGATTGTTTGTTTCAACAAATACTGTAACACATTGCTGAAAAACAGGCGGCCTAATGTTACTGAGTTTGTCTGATGTTTAAAAAATTGTTTCACCAATACATTTAAAAAAGTAAATTTCACTGTTTGACTTTGAATGAATAGAAGAATAAAATACAAACTAAGTAAAAGCTTGTCTGTCTCTATATTTGGTCCAAATAGATTAAATGAACACAGTTATGCAGATACATGAGCTGAGCATGTTTCCTGCTTCTGCGATAGAAAAATAAAAATGTTGTTAAACTGGTTTAGTGTCAGTCAGCCTGTTGAAATGTTTCGTCCTCACTGAACTAAAATATTACAAAGCTCCTTGTTTGTGTTATTTCAAGATCATTTATGTTC